GCCGCCCCCCCTGCACTGGGGAAGGAGGAGGCACCCCCAGGTGCAGCAGGCACTGTGAGCCGGGCTACTCACCCTCATACAAGGAGGACAAGCACTATGGTAAGGGAGGTGGCTTCCAGAGCTGCTCCTTGTGGTACCTGGGAGAGGTGGGCAGGATTGAACCCGTTCCTTGTCACACACATGTTTTATGAAAAAGTCTTCCCTTGGGATTTTTTTCTCCTGAGAAGCTGAGAGGCCTCAGGAACAAAATGTAAACATTGATTATCTCCTGCTGTGGAATGCAGCAGGTGGATCTGTGATTGGTCTCATGTGGTTGTTTGTAATTAATGGCCAATCACAGTCCAGCTGTCCAGGCTGTTTCAGTCACAAACTGAGACATTCCTTGTTATCATTCCTTTTCTATTCTTATCCAGCCTTCTGATTAAATCCTTTCTTCTATTCTTTTAGTATAGCTTTAATATAATATATATCATAAAATAATAACTCAAGCCTTCTGAAACATGGAGTCAACACTCTCATCTCTTCCCTCATTCTAAGATGCCTGCAAACACCACCACAGTTCCTGGTGGGTTTTTCTCCTGTGCCCTGTCCCTGGTGGTCCTGGAGCAAAGCTGAGTGTGGCAGATGCACAGTTTGTGTTTGCTGAGGCTCAGCTGGGAAGGGGGAACTGGTGGGACTGGTTGGAGGCCTTGAGGTGCATGTGGATGGCTTGAGGAGCGTGGTGTCAAAGCCACCTCCAAGTCTCCTTGGTAGCCCTGCACATTTAGGATAATCCGGCTGTTTCTTGGAGATTTGTCTTCACCTTGAGTGTTTTGGGTTTTGAAAAGGAGAATGTACAAGGGGAAAATGTCCCTTCCCACTAAAGTTGTCTGGAATAGGTCTTTGGGTACAGAATAGGACTCAGATTAAATAATTCCCTCTAGAAGAGGGGTGGCTGGAACCCACTTTTCATGCTTGGCTGTGTCAGTCCCTCTGGAGCTGCTGGGTTTGGATTTAACCTGAATTTAAGTGCAAGAGGCCTCCTGCAGGGTCACACTGAGCCATCCTGTGTGGCCCATCCTAATGGTGGGAATTCTTTTCCTTTTAGGCATCACATCCTATGGAGTCCCTCGCAGTGAGAAGGAAATCATGGCTGAGATCTACAAGAACGGCCCAGTGGAAGGAGCCTTCATTGTCTACGAGGATTTCCTGATGTACAAATCTGGTGAGCAGCACCACTGAGGCTGTGGGGGGAGAGCTTCAATCTAAGGTTCCTTGTCTGTGGCCCTGGTCTGTCTTCTCCAGTCTTGGCGATCTCAACCATACACCTGAGTATCTGCTGTGGCAAAGACATGGGCAGGTGCCACCTCCTGTGTCCATAGCAAGAGGAATCACTTCTTAGGATGGGATCAGCCCTAATGGGAAGCACCCCAAATTCCAGCTGGCAGCAGCAGCTCAGATTTTAGGACCTCAAAACTCTTTGTTGTGAACTTTGAGCCCCTTGGGGAATGTCTCTGGGTGATCTGGTGCTGAGTATTGGTCACAGAATCGTGGAATGGTTTGGGTGGGAAGATAATGATTAAAAAATCATCTCATTCCAATCCCTGCCATGGGCAGGAACACCTTCCACTATCCCAGGCTGCTCCAAGCCCCATCCAGCCTGGCCTTGGACACTTGCAGGGATCCAGGGGCAGCCTCAGCTTCTCTGGGCAGCCTGTGCCAGGGCCTCAGCACCCTCATAGGGAAGAATTTCCTCCTAACACCCAACTTAAATCTCCCATCTTTTGGTTTAAAACCTTTCCCTTCTGTCCTGTTGCTGTCTCCTCGTGCAGAACTCCTTCCTCCAGACTCTGCACTAAGTTTCAGTTTCACATTTAACCAAAAACCAAAATTAATAATATGTAATAAAGTTATAAAATACAAATACAAATATAATTTTATAAAATATAGCATAAATACATTAATATAAATATACAATCTATTATATATTATATAATATAAATATATTATATAAATATACTATATATAGAGGCTATGAATATAATTTTATAAAATTATATTTATATTTTATAAAAATAAAATATAGTAGTATATTATAGATAATAAATTATATTGTTTATAATTTTATTATACATTTATATGTGTTATTAATCTCAGCCACTCTGGGGTTGGTGATACCAGGCTGTGAGCACTCTGTGGTGTGCCCTGTTGACATTTTGGGGTATTTTTCCCAAACAGGCAGTGCCCTGTTGACATTTTGGGGTGTTTTTCCCCTTGCAGGGGTCTACCAGCACGTGTCTGGGGAGCAGGTGGGAGGCCACGCCATCCGAATCCTGGGCTGGGGTGTGGAGAACAACACTCCCTACTGGCTGGTGGCCAATTCCTGGAACACCGACTGGGGGGAGAACGGTGAGAGCCTCCAGGAATCTTCCCCGCCCCATTTCCCCACCCCATTCCCTTCCACCCGCAATCCCCACCCAATTTCCCTACCCCATTCCCTTCCACCAGCAATTCCCACCCTATTTTCCTGCCCCATTCCTCTCCACCTGCAATTCCCACCCCATTTCCCTGCCCCATTCCCCTGGGATGGATGGAGAGGATGATTTTTTTGTGTGTTCTCCCAGGTTTCTTCAAGATCCTTCGAGGAGAGGACCACTGTGGCATCGAGTCTGAGGTTGTGGCCGGCATCCCCAGGACGGAGCAGTACTGGAAGAGGATGTAACTCTGATCAAACCACAAATAATCCTGAGTCCCTGATGCTTTTAACTGATAGTGGGTTGGGTGCAGAGACCCCTCCCTTCTAAAAGAGACTCTAGTTCAGGTTACTTTATTAAAGCTTTTTATCTTTTCTTTTTTTTTTCAATTTTTTTTTGTTCCTGTTTTTTGATGGGTTTGTTTTCCTTTTTAAAATTTTTGGGTTTTTGTTTTTAAAATTGTACATTGGGGCTGGAGGTGGAGCTGCTTTCTGCCAACCTCCTGCTTCTGGTGGGTCACAGCAGGACACTGGGGCACTCCCTGCTCAGAGGACTGCTGGAAAACCAAATTCCTCTTGGAATTTGGTTAGCCTGGACCCCTTCCAGCCCGATTTGCTACTGGGAGGGCAGAAAACAGCTTTGTGCTGGGATTAGGGACTTGGTGGGGCAGCAGAGGTGGATGCTGCAGGAAAGCCATGGCCAGGGGGGGATTTGTGCACCCCCAGATGCGTTGATCTGACTGTTAGCACCCAAAACAAGCAGGGAGGAATTTCCTGTGAGTGTGTGCCTTGAACTGGCTAATTTTAGACCTATTAATGAACAAACTGCTGATAAACTTGCTGTGGGGGTGGCTCTGGCCAGAGCTGCCTGCACCAAGTCCCTCATGCATCGCCTGCTCTGCTCCATCCTCCTGGCTTCTCAAACCACTTCTTCCTCAGCTGTTCACTGACTTTTTTATCTGCTGTAGTCTGGGGTTATTGATGCTGGGGAAGGGCCTGGCTGGAGCTCCATGAGCCTCTAAACAAATATCCTGCAAGCATCTGGGAGGGAGCTGGGAAAGAGCAAAGCCCTTCTCCTGCATGGCTGAGCAGCTTGGTGTGTGCTGGTCATGCCTGGGCAAGGGTGCAGTGCCCAAATTTGGGGTGCTTTGGGGCTGCAGGTGCTGGATGCTGAGTTGAGGGATGGTTCCCAGGTCTGCTGCAGGGAGCTCAAGCAGATGCTTGGAGATGTCTCAGTGGATTGGACACAATTAAAGCATTTTTTTCTTGACATTAGGGAAGGTAAAAACCCTTATTTTTGTTACTGGGGGGAGGTGATAGGTTGTGTACAGGAGGAATCATGTGATTTGCCAACACACTAATATAGCAAAGAGCTTTTTTTTTTAATTTTAAAGCACAAAATATATTAGTGACCTGAGGCTATGGGTCAGAGATGTGTGAAGCAGGCTCTCCATGCACTGTAAAATAGCCCCTTACCTCTGCTTGCTCAGGCACCAGCGAGGCAGAGCTGTGCTGTATTTGGCTGGAACACCTGTGCCAATAAATGATTTCTCCAGTGTCCTGGCTCCTGGCTCTTGGTTGCTTCTGCCACCTCAGATGGTTGGGGTGGAAGCCAAGTGAGGCCCTTCTGTCTTCAGAGAATGGGTTGGGTTGGGAAGGACCTTAAAGATCATCCAGTACCTGGGACTGGAAAGGACACCTTCCACTATGCCAGGTTGTTCCAACCTGGCTTTGGACACTTCCAGGGATCCAGGGGCAGCCACAGCTTTTCTGGGCACCCTGTGCCAGGGCCTCACCACCTCACAGGGAAGGATTTCCTCCCAGTATCCCACCCAACCCTACCCTCTGGCAGTGTGCAGCCATTCCCTGTGTCCTGTCCCTCCATCCCTTGTCCCCAGTCCCTCTCCAGCTCTCCTGGAGCCCCTTTAGGCCCTGGAAGGAGCTCTGAGTTCTCCCTGGAGCCTTCTCTTCTCCATGTGAGCACCCCCAGCTCTCCCAGCCTGGCTCCAGAGCAGAGGGGCTCCAGCCCTTGGAGCATCTCTGTGGCCTCTGGACTCTCTCCAGCAGCTCCACGTCTTTCTGCTGTTGGCCCCAGGGCTGGAGGCAGCTCTGCGGGTGGGGTCTCACCTCAGAGGGGCAGAATCCCCTCCCTTGTGCAGGTGTGGTCACTGCCAGCCCTGTCCTGTGGCCCTGCTGGTGACAGCCACCCCTTGGGATGGGGAAGGTGCTTCCACCCTGAGCAGAGAGCAGCCAGGACCTGTCCCCAGCATCCCTGAGGATGCCCAGAGCCCTGGAGCTTGTGCCTGCAGCCCAGGGCTGTGCCACCACTCCCTTCAAGGTGAGTTTATGGACTCTGAGCTGTCCCTCTGGTTAAAATTCTTCCCCAGGTCTGGCACAGCAGGCTGTACTTTGATACTCAGAGTTGTGACCAAGGGGGCACTGGAATTTCATGAGCTGAGAGCTTGTAACTTGTAGGAAATTATTGTTGTAAAAGAAATGACAGCTGAGAAAAAAAAAAAAAAAAAAAAGACCAACCACCACTTTTTTTTTTCCAAAGAAAACTTTTAATTTCAACAAGACTGGAAGCTGCACAAAGAGAGCTACCACGAGTTTCTTTTGAACAACAGCTTAAATCTACACCAGGAACTGTGGAGTAGGGGCTCTCCTTCTGAGTAACAGCCTGACCAGGGCTTGGCCTTGCAAAGCCACCACCCTGCACCTGGCAGCTCTGTCCTAGACCAGGATTTCAGCTCTCCTTCCCTTCAGGACAGCAAAGCAGCATTTGAAGGGGTGGGTAGGGACCTTGCAAACAACAATCCACCCCAGGAGAACAGGACTTGCCTTCAGAGTGCTGTTTCCTCTTGTGAGGCCAGCCTGACGTGTTTGTAGACAGCAGTGGGAGCCTCCTGCAGCTCACACATCACTCTGACCCAGAGCCACAGCCAAGTGGGTCAGGGAAACCTGCCCTGGTTACCCCCTGGTGGCTCCAGCCTGCCCAGCTCCTGGCAGGGATCACTCCTCCCTTCCAGGGTGAGCAATGCCACCCTAAAAAAGCATCCCAGGAGGGACAGCAGGGTGCAAACCCTCCCTCCCCTGCCCTGCTCTGCCACCCATGCCCTGGGCTGGGTCAGTGCAGGGCCCAGAGCCTGCTGTGAGCTCAGGGCTGTGCTGGCAGCTCCCTTCTCATTTTAATCATTTCCCCACTGCTGAAGACAAGATCTGTGTCACTGCAGGGGCCATCTGTCCCAGCTGCACAGCTGCCTTTCAGCTGGGAGCACATTCAGGTGGACAGAGTACCTCACCTCTCATATATTTAACATTAAAAGGGCTCATTTCAGCATCCTTCAGCACAACAGAAATGTGGCTGCAATCTGCCTGCTTCCAGGCTGCAGGATGTCAATCACTGAGGGCCAGAAAGTGGCCAGAGCTTTTTCCTTGGATAAGGAAGCACATTCCTCTCCCAGCTGAAGCAGCATCTTTCCAGCATGGAGCAGGCACCAGAGGTGAGGGAGAAGAGCCTGCTTAAGAAAGGGAGGCAAAACCTTCAGGGTTTTGCTCAGCTCTGAGCTGGAAAGATGCCTCAAATCTCAAGGAAGAAAAGAAACAACTGGAGTTTCTATTTCAAACCATCCTAATGGGAAAAAAACCAAAACAAACAAACAAAAAATCACCAAAAATATTCAGGTAAACAGGAAAGAAGGGGGAAAAAACCACTCAACCCCAAACACTGAGACTCCAGTCAGCATTTGCAGCCAGCAAGGGCAGTGAGGATGGAGTCCAGCAGTGCCACACTGGCACCCCAGGGGGCTGCAGCTCCCCAGTGTCCCATCCTTGTCACCATCCCAGTGCTGGGCCACCCCCACAACTGAGTGACCTCCTGCCACCCATCTGCCACCATCATCCCCCCACCCTGCGGTGCCCTTCAGTTGTCCCCTGCCTGCACGTACTCCTCGGTGGCCTTGGAGAGGGTGCTGAGGTACTGCCAGCTCAGGGCAGCCAGCAGCATGGCACAGGACAGGTAGATGGGCGAGTAGTGGTGGCGGGAGGCCATGGGGCCGGCGGGCAGGCTGGCGGCGCGGATGGCGGCAATCGCCTGCTGCGTCCTGCGGCACGAGGGGTCCGTGCTCGGCATCTTCTGGTAGATCTGCAGCAGGAGGAGGGAGGAGGAGGAGTTAGGGCTCCTATTTATGTAAATAAATACCCTGTGTAAGGCTCTGTCATGGTTTGAGGCTGGCGCCAATGCCAGTGCCCCCATGAAAATACCCTCACCCTGGTGTCTGCTATGAGATGCGACCAGGAATAGAGCAAAGCAGGCCCCTCACTTAGAAATAAATAAGAGAAACTTTAGAAAACTAAACATAGAGAAAACTATATAGAAACTTTAGAAAACTATACATAGAGAAAACTTTACATATAGAAAACTATATGTAGTAAGAAACACACAGAAAGAATGAAAACCTTCCAAAAAACATTTCCTCCTCCCCTGTCATGGTTTGA